CGGTTTAACGTGGGATCTCCGAGCCCGTGGGCTCGGCCAAAAATATACCCTTTGAACCCGTATAAACGGAACGAGACTCCGCCCTTCGACGTAGCCTCCTTCGGGTTCCTCCCCGCTCGAAGGCAGAGAGTTCAACCGTTCAGCCGGTCGTCCGACATCGACTGACAATATTCAGTCTCCCCCCCCCACTGGGGAAACATGTGACACAAGGTCGGTTATTTATTGTGGATTTCCCGAGCCCGCGAGTTCAGCCCAAAAATATGCCCGTTTTAACCCGTATAAACGGGTTCAGGGCCGGTTTTACCTCCCCGAACGAGTCTCCTTCGGGTTCCTCTCCGTCCGTAGACAGAGAGTCCAACCGAACAGTCGCTCAGGAGTTGAGCGACTGACGATATTCAGTCACCTCCCCACGAGGGTGTCGTGTGGCACAAGGCCTTTATAACGTGAGCATTCCCGAGCCATTAGGCTCGGCCAAAAAATAGCCCATTTGAACCCGTATAAACGGGTTCAGGGCCGGTTTAACCTCCCCGAATGAGACTCCGCCCTTCGGCGTAGCCTCCTTCGGGTTCCTCTCCGTCCGTAGACAGAGAGTCCAACCGAACAGTCGCTCAGGAGTTGAGCGACTGACTCACTGACCAACAAGTTACTCTTACTTATTATAGGTGGGAGAGTCTATTAACTATAGAATAGGTGTGTTCCACTATAACAAGAATAAAAAACCAGAATTATCCCCGATTCTAGCAAAGTTTTTAACCCCAGCTTGAAAAAGAAACTTTCCCAAGCATGTGGAATTTGGTAAGTGTATGCCCGGTCTTCAAGAACACAGACAACCGGTCGTCCCCTCCCAGTAACGACCCATTAGTCCCCTCAGTATCATCAGTAAGATTTTTGAGGCCTTCATCAACAAGAAGATCGTTGATCACCTGGATAGTAACAACCTCTTGTGCGACGAGCAGTATGGGTTTCGATCACTAGAAGGGTTTTCTCTATTATAAATTCTTTCCTAACATGTAGATCCCTGAAGGTAGTTATTAACGGTCAACGCAGGCATCCCCCAGGGCTCACTTCTTGGACAAACCTTTTTTTTTTTTGATTTACATAAATGACCTACCTAAGCATATACTCCGGTCATTTATAAATGTCTATCCTGATAATACGACGATGTACGGGCGCACCTCTAAAAGTCTGAACGATTGGAGACTGGCAGCTGACCTCTCTTCCCAGTGCGGAAAAAAATGGTTGGTTACATTCAATGCTTCTAAAATCAAACTGGTTACATTCGATCTCCGCCGATCAAACCCTGAACTACCGCAGGTCACGATGAACGAATGTCTCCTCGAGGAGGCACCGTGCCTCGAGAGGATATTGGGTCTGAGACTCACATCTAACCTCAAGTGGAATTTCTATATACAACCCATCACGAAAGATTCAGCTAAAATAATTGGCTCTCTGCACCGCCCCAGTAAATACCTGACTCCTCATACTATCTTTTACCTTTATAAGAGCCAGATCAGGCCAAAAATGGAGTACTGTTGTCACATTTGGACAGGAGCTGCCCAGATTTCTAAATAGAGTTCAAAAGTCTCTCCGTGTCCTTGTGGGAGAAGAATTATTTTCCAACCTCAAACCTCACTCTCTCTCTCTCTCTGTTCATCTCTCTCTCTCTCTCTCTCTCTCTCTCACACACACACACACACACACACACACACACGCACACATACATACACACGCACAGGCGGGATGTGGCGAGTCTCTCACTGCTCTATGGCTACTATCATGGAAAGTGCTCGGACGAACTAATTTCGGTTGTAGTTGGAGCTATCGGATTTATTGGAAAAGATTCTGAGAGACTTATTGAAGGTATTCCTCATAGTCTATACCTTAAAGAAATACAAACAAAATGTACTGTTTTGGGAGGTTTTTGAAAAAAAAATGATCAGTGGAAAATGTCATGAAGTCATTTCTGATTTTAGGTCTCTGGTTGGGACATGGAAGGAAATGTGCAGACACAGAAATCAAAGGAATAATAATAATAATAATAATAATAATAATAATAATTAAAACTAATAATTTTAATAATAATAAATGGCCGACGTAATTCTTACAATATTTTTCAACATTTAAAAAAGAAAAGACACAGTGTTTGACAAGTTTCAATAATATTTCGACAGTCTGTCTGCCTTCTTCAAGTTATGCTTAAAAATTGTATAAAAATATAAAATATTAACAAATCTACAAACAATTATAAGTGTTTCTATAAACGTCGCTTGTCTTGATAAGAACGGTTGTCCTGCTAATCAATATTTTGACGCGTTGAAGAAGACAGTCATACTGTCGAAATATTGTTGAACATTGTCAAACACCGTCTTTTCTTTTGTGTTTCTTTCTTAAATTGCGCTCTTCTCTAAGGGCTAATAATAATAATAATAAAACCAACTTCATATGTATTTAGTTAATTCAGTAGGGTTTTAAGAAAATCTCATCAAACTTATCTGACATATTTAGATAATTTTGTAGTATTTTTTATCGGTTCGGCTAATTTGTAATAACACGAAATGTCAGACGACAACAATAGTTACTACGAATACTGCCAGAAATAAGATCGTTACTAATGTTGCTGGGGTTAAAATTCTATACAAATATTTTACATTTAAAAAAAATTATTTTTGTACGGTTCTAAAAAACAATTTACTTTTTAGAAGCAAAGATTACATTGAATTTATGTTTTCTTTAAATATAAACATACTGCTTTTGCCTGCTAACTTACGAATGAATTTTGACAAGGCAGGTATAAATATTTTCAATACAGAGTGAATTAAAGAATATTTACCAGTATAAATATTACTTACAAATAGCAATTTTAAAAAATTGCGTTAAAAAATAAACAAAACATTAAATAAATCAACCATTCACCCTTGCATGGAATACTGCTGCCATATATGGTCTGGAGTCCCCGCTGTTCGTCTTAAGGTCCTCGACAAAATGTGGTTGGCTCTGATCTGGCATCTCGTTTACAGTCGCTCTCTCAAAGACGTGCTGTTGCCTCCTCATCTCTTTTCTACAAATACTTACATTGTAACTGCTCCGACGAGCTACTTTCGCTAGTTCCCAAACTGCATGAATTTAAACGTGCTACTAGGTTGACATCTTAATTCCACTCTTTCACTGTCGGAACGGTTAAATGTACCCATCTCTTCTACTCCAATAGCGCCATGTTTTGCACTTCCCGCCTGTGGAACTCCTTTCCTCTTACTTGCTTCCTTGATAGATATAATCTCCAACTATTCAAATGTAATGTCAATCAACATCTCCAGATGCTTTGATCTATTCCCCGTCCTTCTCTTCATCCTTTCCTCTGTCATGCCTCTTTACTCTTGCTCCCATTCTCTGTAACCCCTTGCGTGCTAGTGGCACTCCCGCCTTGCTTGGGGTGAAAAGCTTAAAAATGATAAAATATTCACTAAACAGGCTTTAAAAACTTTTATGCAAATTAAATGTTACCGTTTATGTTGTAAGGGCATTTTTTTAATATTACAAATAAAAAGTTGATAGGAAAATAATTGTCTATTATTTCCGGCTCATTTATTCTACTGATGTAAAGTGGAGGCCCAAAAACAAAATTTAGCCACAGGTGTATTTATAAAAAAATGATATGAAAGATCCTGTATATTAATAGTGCAAATATTTTCATGAATTTTTTCATTAATCTTTCTAAAAATTAATTTAAAAAATGGCTAATGTAAAATGTTCTTTGAAATATCAGCGGGAAACAGATAGCAGAGTTTTGAGTAGCACCTCATTTAATTTAAGTAGTTCGATAACCTAGATTGTTTTTATCATTTCTCTATAAGCAAGGCGATAAAATAGGCTAAGCTGCGAGGGGTTACCGTGAGTAAACGTAACAGAGAGCACAATAAAAGAAAGGGTTTCAAGAAGACAGAGGACGACGATTCGCATCGCATTTAGAATTTTGAAAATCGTAGTTGTCAGCAAAGCAGGAAACCGGAACATAGTCCCATAAGCGAGAAATTGATTGATTGATTGATTATTATTATTATTATTATTATTATTATTCGTCTTCTTCTTCTTCTTCTTCTTCTTCTTCTTCTTCTTCTTCTTCTTCTTCCGCCCTTAACCCGGGAAGGATTCGTTAGGACGCCGACTTGCTGAGCCGTCTACCATTCTCCTTTATCTGTGTCGCCGCGAATGGTTTCTTGGTGTGCTCGTCATGTGGCGTTTTCATGAATCCTTCTAAAACCAAATTTCAAGTGTTTTAACCTGGCGGAGCCCATTCCTCTCCAGGTTAGGCAACAGCCGATGTCCCCCAACTAGACAACTCGCCTTGTTCGCAAACACGTAGCCGTTGTAGTTCATCTGAGGAAACCTGCATCGAGGAGGTCCTTCACCCAGTGGTGCCCTGTTAACACCCCCATCCTCACGTGGGTTTAGCCTGCAATCTGAAACAGTTTACCGCGGCATAGCAACTTGGAACCATCACGTAAGAGATTTTAGTGGTTGGGGACCAGTAATGCCCGTTCAGCCGAAGGCGCACCGTGCCAAACTTCAAAGGTACTACCTATATCCAGAGCCATATATATATATATATATATATATATATATATATATATATATATATATATATATATATATATATATATATATATATATAAAGAAAGAACAGTAAGATATATAATCCGGTGTTCTTATAGATAGTTTTATTTTTACAAAATAGTGATCAATGTAAATTTACAAAATTCGCTTGAGGATGAAATGGAACTAATGTCTTTAATTTAATTACAAAATTAAATTCGGGGCTTTTAGCTTCCATTTTGAAACATGGTTAGAACTGTGTAGCGAAAAAAAACATATTTTAAATCAATTAATTGATAATATATATATATATATATATATATATATATATATATATATATATATATATATATATTGCATTTTGTTGGTTATTAAATGCCGAAGCATAATTCGGATTGTAGGAGTTTGCGTACGATACCCGGTTTTCCCAAGCGGTTCACCATCTAAGCACTGACCGCATCCAAGGAAGCTTAACTTCGGTGATCAAACGAGAATCGGTGGTTTCAGTGGGATTTGATTAAGATATGCAGGATTGTTCTCTAGAACGATGCCGAGAATACCATGGACAAAACACGTGAGCAACGACGAAGTTTTAGAGAAAATAAATAAAAAAATGCACAGACTTAGCATCAGAAAGAGACCATTTAAATTTATAGTGCATATAATGAGGAAAGAAGGCTTGAAAAGTTTGATACACACATGACATATTGAAAGCAAGAGGAACAGAGGAAAACACCGCGTAACCCAACTAACTTGCTTGTGTGGGTGGTTGGCAGAACAGGGATTAGAAGAGATAGCAAAAATACAAAGTTTACTAAGAGCTAACAGTGACAGGAAATTGTAAAGACCCTAGATCGCCCACGTCCTGAAGAGACATGGAACATAGAAGATGAAGTATACACTTAGCAATTTCAATAGGAAAATTATGAGGTCTAAATGCCAATCTAGTACTGTGCTTAGAATCGTGAGGTCAAGGTCATCAGAACAATTAGCGAAGATATTTATCGAAAAAGCATAGGGAAACTACGTTATGGCGGTGAGAATGTCACTGAAGCTGAGGTGCCAGGCCAGAACTTATAACATTTCAAATTCCTCTTTGGATTTTGTCAAGAATCACATGATATATAGCAGAAGCACCAGACCTGATCTGACAGCAATATTCATTCAAGACTTATAAATATGCAAGATAGATTCTGGCGACAAAAAGAAAACTGACTAGCACGACATAGTGAACGACTTTTCAAGTAGGAGATTTATCAATTGATTCAATTCTGATCTTGTCTTTCCTGTTTTTTATTCTTAAGATAGTTTTCCCTGTTTTTCCTTCTGATTTAGTTCAGGGTGACGAGTATAAAATGACTTGGCTTCTTTCTATATATGGATTTCCAAATATAGTGGCCTCCGTTCTTAATCTAGACGGTTGAACTATGTCTACAAGTGCATCGTCAAAGTCAACTTCTTTGTCTTCTGCTTAAAACCATTTCCTGTTTTTAAAGAAACTGATACTTTTAAATCTCTCATCTTTGAACCGTCAATATGTCTGTTGTTTTCCCTCTGTGATATGCGAGCATTGACACAGCATCTTATTGGTGGAACTTCTTCATTGTGTTATAAAAGATTCTATCACTACTTCTGACATCAGGAACCTTGCTGATCAAATTTTCACCGATAAAAAATTGCACTTAGCAAAATCACTTTGGAAAGACGACAGTATAAACTAATTAAACACGAGAGAATAAAAGGCGCATAACTTCTCTCCAAAATAATAATAATACTTTCCTAACTTATACTAAGGCGAATTTATAGCGAAAATTATAGTGTACGAGTCAGCATAGCCAGATAATTGCCACTACGTCTTGCAAAAATTTGAATCTTTATTACGGCGTAATAAAGAAAGGAAACGGTCTGCCTAAAACACAAGTAATAAAATAGGACTGGCAAAGACAAGAAGCGACCAACGAAAGGGAAGATTGTATCAAATCTCATCCCAATTCAACCATCAGTCAACTCACTATAGAGCTTACATAAACAATATATATATATATATATATATATATATATATATATATATATATATATATATGAATAAAAATGACAATAGGAAAACTGGTAATTGCTGACGCGTTTCGTCCAATGTGGACTCTATCAAAGCAAAATACGAAAGTGAAATTAATTGAATAAAGTAACTAATAAAAACAAAAACAGAATGTACCTAGCAACTGGAATGTAGAGAAACGCTATTTTCATATTTTTAACTGAAAAATAACATATAAAAAAATATAACATATAAATAAATAACATATAAATATAAAAAAAGAAAATAATTCACTCAGAAGGAAAATTCTGGAGAGTGCCGCCATAGAAAATTACCCAAATATTAATCTACGCCCAGGTTTTTTCCCCATTTCACCTTTCTTAACAAAATTACTGCTCTTACAAACAAATATACACAACGGATTCATAAAATCAAAAGAAAATGGTTGAATACATCAACACAGATATAATGACAATATTCTCCACACGTGACAAATACTGACTATATATATATATATATATATATATATAGAGAGAGAGAGAGAGAGAGTTGTAGACAAGACAGAATTATTCGCCCCTATTCAATATTTGCATATTTTCCTAGTAATATTAATTATTAAAACTGATCCACAGAGAGTTCGATGTATTTATTATAACGGAGCATATGCATTTTTTTACAACAAAAAAAAACAAAAATTACCTCAACATGATGATAGTCTGTTTCAAGCCGTTCCGTGTGCGGCTATCATCAGCCTCTAAGTGTCTGTCTCGGAGCATTGTTTTAAATTTATTTTCAATGTCAGTGCCCCTCTGGTAGACGCCTTGTTAATGAGAGTTGGTTTGTGTTAGCGATTGGTGGTATCTTATCTTACCTTATCCCGGGGAAGCAGTCTGGGGTTTAAGATTATTTATGGCCAGGACCTTTCGTTGTTTGTATTTTAATATCAATTCCTACTATATGGCATTTCTTATGCTCACTCTGAGTGTGTTTTTCTGGGATTCACAGGAAATAGTTTTTGTACTACAGGTGTCCAATATTATTAATAAGCGATGGTGGATTTAAACTTAAGCCCGTTAAGATTAATGTAAATTAGTTGAGTTATATAGAGAGTTATAGATTGTTGGTAATACCGGAGCACCCAACGGAATAACTCATGCTGTCCAATACACTTATATGCGTACATATCTTCACACATGCATATATGTACATTTACATGCTCATACATATATGCCACTATACGTACACTTACACCCCCACATAAGTACACATGTATTCTTATGTAATTTGGAATTTATTTCTAGGACTTCATTTCGTGATTAGTTCTTTCTGTTGATTCAATAGTTTGCATTGATCTTTATATTTTATTATCCTGATTTTTTCTTCTAAACATAGTTTGTACCTATCCCTAAAACCATTGGTGGTGTTTGCGAAACCTAGAATTTTCCAATTTATTTAAGGATTCAAACACTTTTCCTTCAATTTCCAATTTTTTTTCAAAAGGGCTGTTTGATGTTTTAATTTTGGATTGGTGCATGAATGTCTATGTGTATTGATTCTTTTTTTAATTCTCCAGCAGAAATACCGATGTAAATATTATGGTTTTTCGTATTTTCTTTAGCGGTAATGGTTACCTAGTATACTACTCTAGTGGATCTGCACTTGCCTTCTACTGGGCAGTCTTCCTTAATTCTACAATTACAGGGGGTTTCCATGTTAGACTTAGTTTTTTTCCATATAATTGTTATGGGAATTAAAAATTTGGCACGTATTATCAGTGCAGGAGTAGCTAATTTTGACTGATTTCCTGTTAAATATCTTATTTAGAGTTTGTTTTTTTTTGTTGAAGTGTTTAGTAATTAAGTTTAGAAAGTATTTACTGTCCGATGTTGATACGTGACAGTTTGCAGAATTGGGATTTGAACCAAGTGGTTTTTCTTTTCCTATTTTTACACCAACATTTCATTTTTCGTGTATCGGTATTACTAATGGTGGTTGCGTAAGACAGTTTAATTTTTTACTTAGACGTTGATGATAGCCATGTACAGAACGGCTTGAAATAGACTATCTCTATGTTGAGGCAATTTTTGTCTTTTGCTGTAAAAAATACATATGCTCTGTTAAAATAAAAACATTGAGTTCTCTGTGGATCAGTTTCAATAATTAAATATAAAAATATTAATTAGATCATATGGTCGACGATGCAGAGAAGTCATTGAAAATAAGGGGATGTTTACCAAATATTAAATTTTGTTGATATTTTGTTCACAATCAATTATTAACAAGATTGTTCCTTAACTTTTGTCCAGTAGCTTATTTCCTTTGTTCCATTTAATCTTTATTTAAAAAAAAAAGCTATTATGCACATTTTTGTAACTTTGTATAATATTTATATATTACACCCTAATCTTTATTCGGTAAAAATTTAATTGCTAATTATGCATTACATTTTAAGTATTTATGTCTTTGTTTTTTCCGTTCCTTATATTATGGCCGCTACTGTATATACATATTATGGTGTATTTTGGCAGCAAGAATTCTTTTAGACATGTTTGGTTAAATAATATCGACATGATCTGTCTATCAATTTCATTTTGTAAAAATAATCAATCCAAATGAATAAAGTAAGTAAATAATAAACAAATTAACAAAACCTTCCCGCCAAAATAACCGTTAGAATAGACCACAGCAATCAATCAAAAAACTGGACGAAAAATAGCTATAACTGCTATATAAACGATCAAAATTTTGATTACGTTACTTAAAAATCGAAAACGGAAAAGAATAAATAAAAATATACAAAATAAAAATAAATAAGAAAAAACAAGTAAAAAAATTAATCCAAAAAAATAAATTAAAAAACTGCTCCCACCAAAATAACAGTTAGAAAAGACTAAAGCAATCTATCCAAAAATTAGACGAAAAAATAGCTTTAATTACCTTCGCAGACCAAAATAAACTATTAAATAAACGATTTGAACTAATCTCAAAATTTTTTACTACAATACTAAAACATCGAAAACCGAAAAGAGTAAATAAATATATAAAATAAAAATAAAAAATAAAAAAAACAAGTAAAATAAATTAGCCCAAATAAATAAACAAACCACTCCCGCAAAAATAACCTTTAGGATGGACTACCCACAATGCACTGTATTTTTTTTTAATTTACAGACATGTAAAACGTGTGTATCTATCTCAAGTGTGTGTCTGTATATAAATCTATGCGTTAGTGTGTTTCTCTCTGTCTGTGAATTTTTTGTTTAATTCATTGTACGTTTCTGATGAGTACTGCTGACTGATATCATATTTCCTCGACACTACCCCAGTCACACTCACCAAAACTTAGTCTAGATATAAAATCTCTTTACGCTAACATCTCGGTTGAAAAATGCTTAAATCTCTTAAAAACATCTAACAAAATCAAAGATAAACCTCTCCCTACCAATAGATAAAATAATAAAAATCCGCCTTCTCATCACCA